TTGTGAAGGAGACCCACCCCCCCCCTTACTCTGTGCCAAAAGATAGTGCTGGAGAGTAATGGCTACTGACCAGAGGCTGAACTCTGTGTTCAAGGCCGGGGGGTAACTGTTGTACAACACTTGTAGGGCAGGGCTGAAAGGGCAAAGCACCTCACTGAGTTTTCACCTAGCTTAGGGGAGCAGAGATTTCTTCAGTATGTCTAGATCATTGTAGATGACTGCTTTGACTCTTGATTCTCATTGTGGTCTTCATTATATAAACTGACCTTTCCAACAGCTATGTTAGAAGTTTTTATAAGCAGCTCCTGAAAGTACGCTGCAGCGCTTCTAGAAGCTTGCAAGGCTCCTGAACTGCCGGGTGTCTCAGCGCTGAGTGCGTAGGACAAGTCGACAGTAGGCTTCTGCTGCAAGTCAGAGACTGGCTCTACCTTTGGATCAAGCGTCAGACCTGTCCTCCTGCTGCTTGCTGAGCAGAGGCTGCCCTATGCCTGAGCTCTACAGAGCAATTGTAAGACAGGCCAGTATTGATTGTGCATGAAAATACTAGCTTTTTGCTGCTCTTATAATATTCCAAGCTCAAATTTTTTTGGTCATAGCTGCTAGGGCTTGAGATAGCTTCCTGAGCAGCAAAATGGAGATGAGCAGTCCGATAACTTCTCGTACCAGACACACAAAAATGCATTGCCACTCTGGAAGACAGCAATATGTAGTATTTATTCCTGATACGTGCTTCTTGGTCTTCCCTCAAATAGATGCTGATTCTAGAGTATCAGTCTCGTATGATGAGATGGAAGAAGCTTTAAAGCTTCAAGGACAGGGTCTAAACCACGAGGTCCTGAACGTGTTCACTGCTCAGGACTCCTGCAAAAGTCAACCCACAGCAGAGTGAGTCATCTGCTTCCCATACTTGTCTGGATTGCTCAGGCTTTCAGGGATGAGCATACAGCAACAGTTCTTCCTCATTTGCAATTATTCAATCAGTGTATATTATATTTTTTCCTTTAAGTTTCCATCAAATGGAAGGGGTTTTATTCCGGACACTGATCTGTATATCCAGGAAAAAAAAGTTCAACTCAAGCAGACAATCAACGGTCTGGTCAGTGGCTGTTCTCCTGACAGGCTTTTCAAAGCACTCGCAAACCAGATTATTTATTAGCTGCTAAACCCCACAACAACTCGAATGAAAACCAGTTGTATCCTTAATAGCACTTCAGAGCTGAATGAGTTCTTGGAACCCACGTAGATCCCAAGCACGCTCATCCCGCCTTAGGACTGGAGGTTGGTAACAGGCCTTC